TTATAAAATTATTGATTGATGTGTGATATGTCTAAGAAAGGAGAGTCTTCCATTCGTTTTATTACCTGGAACGTTAAGGGTATGAATGGACCAAATAAACGAACGCGTATTTTCGCTCATCTCAAAAAAATGAAAACGGATATAGCGTTACTGCAAGAAATACTCTGCCATTATTATATCAGATCACGCCCCACTACTTTTAGATTTACGATTTACTTTCTGCAGTAACCAACGCCCCACTGGAGATTAAATCCAACTCTGTTGGCAGACAAAGAATTTAATACGTATATATCAACAGCAATTGATAATTTTTTGGCTACAAATACATTTGAAGAGGTATCACCATCGACTTTATGGGAAACATTTAAAGTAGTCACTGAATATGCGTTGCATCTGCTGCCTACTTATACTCACGCTGTAATCAGCAGCAGCTGGATGCAATAATCTCATGCCAATGTGCATTGGCTCGTTTAGTTTACACTCGAAGTGGATTGGTCCCTCTAAGCGAGATCCCAATTTCGTCGGTCAACCGACGTGACGTCTCCGTTCCCTCCTTCAGGGAACGAGGGTTACCTACGTAACCGAGACGTTCCTCGCTCCTCTCTAGTGTATTGTGACACTACGAGGATGACTTGTAAAAGTTATAGGTATCTTTAAGGCATTCATTTTATTTAATTCTTGCGTCAAATATTAATGTTCTTCTTTGTCTGAAAAATATTTGTTTTGGGGTGGAAAAAAAATTGAAAATTTAATGACTGTGGATTGATACTCCAAGGAGTAAAAAAGTAAACTTCTGTAAAAAGTTATGGATGTAGAAAATGTTATAGTGGATTGGGATACCCCCGTTGATAGAAACGGTTCTGAGTAATTTGAGAGATTACTGGGGGTACGTGTATAGGGACCTGCCATTTGTCTCTGTTCTTGAGACAAATATAGGAAGGGGTCAATGTTTCTTGTGCTTGATTGGAAGGGATGGGAGAGAGGGTGGGCGTTGTGTTGTCTTTTTTTTATACCACTCACTTGCACATGTGGAATGGTCTTACTTTTATTCATCTATTCTTATAAAATTATTGATTGATGTGTGATATGTCTAAGAAAGGAGAGTCTTCCATTCGTTTTATTACCTGGAACGTTAAGGGTATGAATGGACCAAATAAACGAACGCGTATTTTCGCTCATCTCAAAAAAATGAAAACGGATATAGCGTTACTGCAAGAAATACTCTGCCATTATTATATCAGATCACGCCCCACTACTTTTAGATTTACGATTTACTTTCTGCAGTAACCAACGCCCCACTGGAGATTAAATCCAACTCTGTTGGCAGACAAAGAATTTAATACGTATATATCAACAGCAATTGATAATTTTTTGGCTACAAATACATTTGTGAAATCATATCTTATTGTTCATATACCAACAAACTAAAGAATGCAAAATTACAACAACTCATTGATTCCATAGCAAAAATAGATAGCCACATCTCATTAACTCCTTCAGAAGAGTTATTCAAAAAGAGAGTGGAACTTCAAGGGGAAAATAGCTCCACTCCTATTGAAAATTATTTAGAAAATGCAAAATTACCACAAACCCTTACAGAGGCATTTATAACACTTATTTTAAAACCAGGAAAAGACCTATCCATGTGTAATTCTTACAGACCAATCTCATTGTTAAATGTCGATGTTAAAATGATTGCCAAATTTTTAGCTTTCAGAATTGATTCTCTCATACCAGAGATTATGTCTCCGGATCAGACGGGTTTTGTCAAAGGTCATTACTCGTATACCAATCTACGGAAGCTCCTGGGGGTCCTGTACTCTCCTGCATCCAGGGAAACCCCAGAGGTTGTGGTTTCCCTGGATGCAGAAAAAGCATTTGATAGAGTTGAGTGGGGATATTTGTTTTTAATATTGAAAAGGTTTGGCTTTGGCCCAAAATATGTAAATTGGATTAAATTGCTTTATTCTACCCCTAAAGTCTCTGTTATAACAAAGTACACTCACAATTTTTCCCAATACTAAGAGGCACAAGACAAGCATGCCCTTTAAGTCCCCTTCTTTTTGCATTAGCGATAGAACCACTTTCTATAATGCTTTAATCTCTACAGTCCATAAAGGGCATTGATAAAATGGGTATAGAACATAGAGTTTCCTTATATGCAGATGACCTGTTGTTATATGTTTCAAACCCAGTTGAAAATGTCCCAAACATAGTGCAAAATCTTTCTGTCTTTGGTAGTTTCTCAGGATATAAATTAAATTTTTCTAAAAGTGTATGCTTTCCCATTAATCCTCTGGCTCTACAAATTAAAACTTCATCCCTCCCATTTCATATTTCCCAGTCCGGCTGTAAATACTTAGGAGTACATATTACTCAAACTTTTTCAGGTCTATATAAAAATAACTTTTTACCCCTTATAAATAAAACTAAAACTGATCTACAAAGATGGGACACATTATACCTATCTTTAGCAGGAGTAAATTGTATTAAAATGAATGTCCTACCTACATTTTTATACTTATTCCAGTCCCTTCCAATTTTTATCCCAAAAGCCTTTTTTGTACATTAAATAAGCTTATAACATCATTGTTATGGAAAGGGAAGAACCCAAGAATTAATAAAGACCTTTTGGAAAGGCAGCGATTTCAAGGAGGTTTAGCTTTACCTAATTTTATGGGATATTACTGGGCAGAAAATCTTCAAAAAGTCAACTGTTGGTATAATTTCCCAGAGACAGAGTTGTGTAAGGCAGAAGCAGATACCTGTATTTCTACATCACTTCCCGCCTTACTAACAATGAAACTACCCTTCTCCCCTTATCAGTATACATCAAACCCAGTTGTAAGTTCAACACTTAAAATATGGTCTCAATTTAGACAAAGGTACAAATTTAAGGACTTCTCCATGTTAAGCCCTCTCAGTAACAACCCTCTATTCCCCGCTGGTAAAATAGACTACACATACGTACAATGGCAGAGTATTGGATTGGCTAAATGCAGTGATTTTTACATTGATAACACTTTCGCTAGTTTCAATGACCTTCTACAGAAATTTCAGATGACACAGTCTAACCTGTTCCGTTATTTTCAAGTCCGACATTTTATTCAATCTCAAAGTTCCACCTTTCCTAACCTACCCCCTACCTCACTAATGGATACAATTTTACAGATTCCTGTAACCCCCAAAGGTCAAATTTCTGCATTATACAATATGATTGTGTCTGCAAGTAATACTTCAATTGAAAAAATTAAAGAAAAGTGGACCAAAGATATAGACTCTGTAATGATTGATGAAATATGGGATGATGCTCTAAAAAGAGTAAACAGATCAACCACCTGTGCATGCCTTAGTCTTATACAATTTAAGATACTTCACCATACATATTACACTAAATCTAGACTTTCAAAAATGTATCCAAACGTTGATGACAGATGTGATCGATGTAAAAGTGATAAAGCTGACCTTATCCATATGTTTTGGTCCTGCCAAAAGCTGAAAAACTACTGGACATTTGTATTTAAAATACTAAATGAAGCCTTTAACTTGAATATAACACCCTGTGTTGAAATTGCTATCTTTGGAGTGCCAGAACATGGAATACCTTTGACTAACAATATGGAAAATGTTTTTACTTTTGCTTCATTATTAGCAAGAAGGAGAATATTGTTGGAATGAAAATCAAAAAATCCACCAAAAACTTCAATGTGGATTTGTGATTTGATATTGTATTTAAAACTAGAAAGAATAAAATATGTCAAAAAAGGATCCATTCAATAATGTTATAAAATTTGGAAACCTATGATTACATATTTTGAAAAGATGAAGACCCTACCTTCTAACTAATTAATAGGACTAAAGTTTTAGAAAGGCCATCTGACTTTAAAATACTTGGTTATGTCATGCTTGCTTATATATCTACACAGAAAGACCATTTGAGTGATCCCCCCTTCTTTTTTATTTTTATTTTGTATTCTTTTTTTTGTGAACACATTTACTTTTGTTAACAAAATTGACTTTGATATCTGCTGATAACAAAGTATTGAAATGTATCTTGCTATTTTGTATAGTAAGCACTTTATTCACATAATTATTTGGTTGTTTGGTTATTTATCTATTATTTTTCTACTTTCTGTTAATTGAGGGTTGTGGAACGGGGTGGGGAAAGAAAATACATAATTATGTAATTGTTTGAAATTTTTTTGTTTAAACATGTTTGAAAAATTAATAAATAAAGTGCAAAAAAAAAAAATATTGGCTTTATTTTGCATCAAACACAAGACAACTTTAAGCAAATAGTGTATAAATAGTATCTAAATGAATTCTAATTCTATTTTTATACAATAAAAATAAAACGTACTTCAAATAAAAAGCCTTGGACAAACTATGCAAAAAAAACTATGCATTGTTTTCCGTCAAAGCGTCAAAAAGCACCTGATGGAGTTTGAACTTCACATCAAACTGCTTCTGTTTCACACAAATGCCGGCACAGACGTGCATGGTCGGCTAGAATCGCCCTGAACTCGTGCATCTTCAGATGCGGAGCTGCGCGAAAAGTTTGGACACACGAATGGGAAGTGTGTCCAAACTTTTGACTATACTATACTATAATATAGCCTACACAAAGAATATCGGCCGATATACCGATATCGGCTCTTTTTACTCCCTAATATCGGTATCAGCATCGGCCCCCAAAAAACCCATATCGGTCGGGCTCTAATCTAAATGATAGTAAATTACTTCAGGAGCGCTACAACTAAGCTTTCCGGATGTAATACAACATTTTTAAAATGATCTAAAATGCTTTCCAGGCTCATTGGAAAAACGTGCCTGTGGTGACATGACTGCAAAATTATATTACGTTGCTTCTGTCAATGCGAGACGTGGACTCAGTTTGCAGGTGCCAAAAGTCAATTTATTGAACACCCCCCCTAAAAAAAAGTGCAGTGTTGAGGGTAGTCCAAGATTCCAGGGTTGGGAACCATAATCTAAAATTTTACCTCCATGCTGTATGTCTTGCCAGAAGAGGTTTGTCCATAGGCAAAGATCGTTCCATTGCAACCTTCCAGCACATCTACATATCCACACAAACAAACACACAAATTATTCACACATCAAATGTCCTTTCTCTACAATATACATTGTCTTATGATGGGGTATAGGCATTGGGGCTTCTAGCAAAAAATGTTGCTGGTTTATTCTCAAGTACCAAAGGATTATGATGTTTTCTGGACAGTAAACATGTTCTCTTATTCAACTTATGTTGGTTTGACAAAGCCATACTGATATTCTATTTAAGGTGATAATGTAGAGTTCAAATGGCCACAGTGACACTTGATTGATCCATCAACCTTCAAATTACACTTCATCCATTAATCACTCTGAAAGTCAAAGTCCATTCATCTATCACTCTTCAGTCATACTTTAACCATCTGCACTCTTCAAGTCACATTCTATCTATCTGTCTGACAGTCCTTCTGTAACTATCCAAGACCATAACAGAAACCACAACAAAGACCTCAGAAAAGCCCTAGCAATATCCTAGTGACCACCCTGAATGCCCAGACACCCACACCTAGAAAACGCATAGCAACTGCTTAGTAACAACCCCGAACATACTTAAAGTCTTAGCAACCACCCTGCTCAACTCAGCAATCTAGAAATAACCCAGAACCTTAGCAACTAACAATAATCTACTCTAGTAACTGCATAAAAAAAATATTTTTCAAAGTTGAAAATAAAACATTACATTTTACAGGAAAATATCATTTCAGTTTTATTCTTCAACATTTCACATTTCATTCAATGTGTTACTTCCTATTTCTTTGTAATTGTTTGTGAAATGTACTAGCAATTTCTGAGTGAAAATTATTATCTAACTATCTGTCTATCTATCTGCCTTTGTCTTCTTCAAAATGTTTGATAAGGCTTTGTCAAGCCAACATCTTGACACGTTTATCTTGACAAATTTCTAGTGTAGTTAGTGAAAGAGTGACATGATCATCTGGCTGCAGTCAATGGAGTTCATGCACTTCATCTTGCTTTGGATGAAAACGCTCTTCTAAATGAGGAACAGCTTCAAATAGCCTAATCCACAACTGCCTTTTGCAGTAATATTGAGTTATTTCAGTATTTCATGTAATGATGTAAACATTCTGCAGCCTTTAAATGCCACTTTACTCCAATAGTATTAAAGGGGTCATGAATTGAGAAATTTGATTTTCATTGGTCTTTTGACATATAAGAGGTCGTTGTGCTATAAATACATACTGTAAGTTTCAGAACTTAAAACTGCCTAGTTAGTCCAAAAACAGCTTTTATTGAACCAAAGCTGCCAAAATGACTTAATGACTGTTTTTTTTCCCCCAATGCATTTCAGTAGAACATAATTAATGCCACAACTGGACACAAGCTTTGCAAAAACACTTTGTGAAATATTTACTTAAAAGAGATGCAAAGAACGCTCCCTTTATAATCACTATAGCTGTCAATCAGTCTAGTTCAACATGAGTTCTGCTCTCTCACAAAAACTCCCTTTATAATCATTGAAATAGTCTACACTGCACAATTAATCTTACATTTACATGGTGTCTACACTGTGAGCTTGCACTGAACAAAACTCTGGCCATTGCATTCATGCGTTCAACACTGGCTAGAGTGCTCACAGCAAAAAACATGCTAAAAGGAAACTTTAATGAAGTAAACATGCTGTAAACATAATACTATTATTCACACTTTCCACAATTAGGTAATCGTAGCAACTGTAATCATAATTGTGTTTCAGCAGTTCCACATGTATAATACTTATTTCATATGCAAAGATGTTATCCAATCATAGCATTTACTGCACATTGAAATATTAAAGGATACATGGTAATTTAAGTGGAGTGTTCAAATCAGAGGATCAAAAACAGTGTAGAAAATGGTCATTTATTTCTAAATTATGACTGTTTTGACGTAAAAATCTTACCAACATTATACGTGGATCTCAGGGAACATTATAAAAAAATTAATTCAGGACACCTTTAAATATGACAAGGTGAGGACCAAATACAATCATGCATGCATGTACATGCTTATGCTCATACAGGGCATCACACATTGACCTTTGACGATCTGTTTTGCACAGGTGTTGTACACCTGCTCCTGATAGGTCTCAGGAGGAAATACACCATCAAACACATATGATTTTCCCTGTGGACACATAAAACAGACATTTAGCCCACACAAGAACAGAAGAGACATGCCTAACATATGCCCTAGATCAGGGTTACCCATTCCTGTTCCTGGAGATCTGCCACCAGAGTTCAGATATAACCCTAATCAAACACACCTGTCTGTAATATATGCATGTATGTATGTATGTGTGTGTGTTTGATCAGGGTTGGAGATGAACTTTGCAGGAAGGTAGATCTCCATGAAAAGGACTGGGCACCCCTGCCCCTGATCAGAGTTCTTAACTCTGGCCCTCAAAGTCCACTTTCCTGCAGAGTTTAGCTCCGGTAACTTCACCTGCCTGTAACTTTCCAGTAATCCTGAAGACCTTGATTAACTTGTTCAGGTGTGTTTGATTAGGGTTGAAGCTATACCCTGCAAAAAAGTAGATGTTAAAGGGCCAGAGTTGAGGGTCTAGTTGCCCTGGAGAAAAGTGCTTATCAACTCCATCCCTGGGGACCCACCGCTCTGCACATTTTGTATGTCTTCTTTATTTCTTGAGCTGATTGTCTGAATTAGGTGTCAAATAAGGAAGACATGAAAAATGTTGTAGAGCAGTGGACCAGGAGTCCCCAATACTGCACAGTTTGCATGTCTTTCGAATCAAACACCTAATTTAGATCATCGGCACATTAGTAGAGATTCCAAGGCTAGAAATTGGCATGTCAGACAAAGAAGTCATTCAACATGTGCAGTGCTGGGAGTTCTCTAGGTACAGGGTTGAAAAACACTGCCTAGACTACACTACTTCTTTTGAACAAATAAGAATAAACTTTAGGTGCAGTATCCATTCCTGAAATGTCAACCATCAGCGCTGAACAGGGTAAGGATCAGTCTCTCCACATTTAAAGGGGTCATATGATGCTTTTTTAAATATCATTATTTGGTGTATTTGGTGTAACAGAATATGTTGACATGCTTTAATGTTCAAAAAACACATTATTTTTCAAATACTGTACATTATTGTAGGTCCTCTATGCCCCGCCTCTCTCAAACGCTTCGTTTTCT